GACCAATGTACTTAATATCTGTTAGTCTTTAAATAAGCCTTTAATACAAAGATCAACTGTGAAATGATGTGTATCTTTTCAGAGGCAGACAGGTAAGATCTCACCTGGAAACCAAAAGCAGAAATTAATTAAGAATATTTGGATAAGCCTGACTATACATCTACTAGGAAGTTTAAGAACAGACTGAAGCAATCTAAGAACACTTAAGCTCATCTTTGAAGGCTCACATTATATAGAACATGTCCCAGAAGCATGGAAAATAGCAAATTGCCAAAAAGCAGAAAAAATAAGAGCTAAAGAAATGCTGTAACTGCAGTTCCTAGGGAAAACAAACAAACAAACAAACAAACAAAACAAAACAAAACCCACATTGGAACAAATAACAAACCAAAGTATTTTCCCTTGTCTAGGAGGAAGTGATGCAGTAACAGTAAGAAGGGATTTGTCAAGGACAGACCATGAGAGGTGCTGGCAACCAAGAAACAGTCAGATGCTTTCCTTTGGCTTCTCCCCCCTGTTCCACAGCTGCCCTGGGAAACACAGCTGAGATCAGACTGAGAACTTGCCCTGGTGATTTGCCAATGGTCCAGATGGGTAGAGGTGCCAAGGGGTTACGAAGGGGCTATCCTAGGTTGGGGTCACTTTTAGCATAAGGAATGATGGATTGGAGAAGATCCTTAACAAATCTACAGGTAGTACAAAGGGCCTGGCAAATATCCCAAAGTCCAGCAAAGAACAAGGCTAGGATTTATATGGAGCCTGATAAACTGAAGGTACTAAATCTATGCAGGAGCCATCAGATGCAAAAGGATTCAGATAGGGAAACACTTGATATGTAGTGGGTTTTGAAGGAGGAAAAAAAGTGGAGGCTATCACACGCTGAATGTGAGTCATACATCACACCATTTCATAAAATGCAGTGTTATGAGCTATCAAAAACACAGCCTGAAAAACATGCAATGTAATTCTGCTGCTGCACTCCTCTGCTGTCCTGCACCTGCTCTGGGCACCGCACTGTCAGCAAGGAATTGGGCTGGCAGGAGGCTGCAGAGGAGCAGTGGCAGCTCTGGGAAAGCCACAGGGAAAGCTATGGGGAAAGGCAAGGCAATGGGGGTCGACAGCCAAAAGAAGAGGTGACACTGAGGAAAACGCCGCAAGCAGTGTTCAGTGTACACAAAGTTTGTGCAAGGGGGACGCAAGCCAGGTGTTCCCCATACCGAGATGCAGCATGGCATGACAACCCAGGAGAAGTATCAGGTGTGAGAGACCTCCCTAGTGGTGAGGACAGATGGACACGGGGAAGGGGAAAGCCCAAGGCACATCTGTCCCTGGGGCTTCCTGTGACCAGGCAGGATTTGTCACACAGGTTGGTGTGTTAGACCCTTCTTGTCAGTTCTCTCTGTTCGCCCTGGGGACCTGCACCAGGGCTTTTGGGGTCAGAGCCAACTGCATCAGCAACTTCCTCTACCCCCACTTTCCCCAGCCCAAGCTTCCTCCCAGCAGCAGGCTGCTAGCTCAGGGGTAGCCAGCCACCAAAAGGCATTTCAGACATGCCAAGCAAGGCTGTCCCAAGCCACACAGAGGTGGATTAACTTCTGGCATCAGTGCAGGTCTGCCCTACATACATACACACGCCTGTCCTCCAGGACCAGAAGTGTGCTCTTGTTCAGCCTCCCCAGCTGACCAGGGCCTCAGCCTCCTGCAGACCTCCACATGAGGAGACCCATGGACCATCGGAGAACTCAGCCACCAAAGTCACTGCCATGGCTGAAGCCTCAAGAGCAACACGGGTCAACAGCTGCCGCTGCTTCCAGCACAGCTGAATGCCAGCACTGCTGGCCAGCCCACAGGCACTCACGGTGCTTGTGTGCATCACTCCTGGAAAACATGAAACGCTAAAGCTAAACCAGCCTTCATCTAAATTATCTTTGCCATCCTGAATATATTTGCAAAACAATCAGAATTTTGCTGGCAGACTTCTCCCTCAGAATAAAGAATTCCAGGGCACACACTGAAGGCATTGAATTTTCTTAGTATTTACTCTGATAAAAATCTGACCCAAAATCAATTTGTCTGCAAGATTTTTCAAGGAAGATGCATGAGGACTGCATCTGTTTATGGATGTCTTGTCACTTACGACAAAGAAAAGGCTTTCTTGTTGGAAAAGAAAACATCACTTGGAACTGAGTATTCAGATGAGCCAGGGATCCCCGCACTGCTGTTCCCTAGCCCCGGAGTAAATAAAAGCTGTCAAACAAATGCACTGGGAACAGACTGGGAGAGCTGTAAGGCCAAACAAGTGAAAGAAATACTGGGTCAAACACAATACAACTATTAGTTAGCTGCTGTTAAGCACTAGTTATCCTATAGCTCATACTGAACAGCAGTGGTGCGTGCAAACTTCTATGCTAACTTAATATCAGACAATGCAATCTGGAGATCAGCACCCACCCAGCCATCTCACGGGGGGGTGGTGATGTGGAACAGCCACAGGAAGAGGTACACGGCACTATTGACACCGTGGCCTGGCATTCACAGCTGGGATGAGGGTGGTGGCATGCTGGAACCACACCGACCACGCTCTGTGCAGCCCTGCATGGGAATGTCCCTTTCACCCTGCCCTGCTCACAGCCTGGGGCAGCTGAGCCCTGTCCAACAGAAAGAACACAAAGCAATGCGTGCGAGTGGCTGTTGGGCTCAGATCCCACTGCCTGACTCAACAGACAGACATTTCTTCTCTGCCCCTTTGACTTCACATCTTGTGTTTCTCACGTTACCAAGACCACCTCTGTATGATCCTGACAGCTCTGACATGAGCCAGCATGTACAAGGTGTTGAGCATGTAGATTGCATGTGTGAGCTTCATTTGCCCCAAGCTCAGTGCTGTGAATCTCACAATACTCCTATACCTAAAAAATGATACAAGCATCCAAAAAATTTGAATAAATTGTGGTTTTATATACCTTTTATGAAATGCATGCGGCTAGGAAAAATTAAGTCAATTACAGCAACCCTGTATAAATTTGCACAAGCAGGAAACAGAAGACAGGGCAGATGCTTGCTCCAGCAGTGCTGGCAGTAGGACTGGAGAGGTGGCCGCCTTCCTGTGCTCCTCACTATGAGCTGGCCCTGCTGGGGGAGGCTTGAGCCTTCACCATGTTGCCCCCTCCTCCTTGTTGCCATCAGGGGCTCCAGGTAATTTTGAGAATAGCTCCAAAAGCTTATCGATTATAAAATCCCATAGCATTATTTTACCCACACCAGCCTCCTAATATTTTTATAAACATACTGTACTTCTGGCTTTAGCAAGTTCCCGAGGCAGTGAATTCCAAAGCTAACTGCAGGGTGAAAAAACAGTCTTGTACTGGTTTTCAGTTTGCTTGCCATTAATTTCATTGCACACTCCTTTTTCCTTATGCCATGAAAAAAAAAAACACAGAAGTTCCCTATTTCCCTTTTATAAACCACTCAGTATTTCCAATATTTTTAACATATTTCCTCCTATTCATCTCGTTTCTAAGGTAACAATCCTGCTCTTCTACGTCTCTCTTCAAAGCAGAATTTTTTTTCATTCCTGATGATTTTTGCTGCATCTCTGAGACCCTTTGACTCACTCTGTTCTCACTCACTCACTAGCAGTGCTCACGCTGGTGCGTAGCACTCGAAGGTGTCATCATAGATTTTAGCCATGGCATTAAACTATTTTCCACTTTATCATTCATCCACACTCTTTAGGTGATCTAATATCACTGTATTTTGTACTGAAGCTGAACGTTGAGCAGAGGTTTCCAACGAACTCCTTAGAAAACAACCTGCAACTTTTCCCAAGTTAATTAGGAATCCTACCAGGTAATTTAGTAGTTCTTTTTTTTTTTTTTCCTTCTAGTAGCTATTTTGCATTTATTTTCATTATTTTGTATTCACCAACATGTTTCTTTTTCCCCAATTTCTTTAAATCGCCTCAAAGGGCCTCAAAGCTGTTTCTGGTATGGAGCTAATGTAAACAACTGTCATCTGCAGACTGGTTCTTCACTGCTCAAACCCTTTTCCTGGTCATCAGTAAACACAACCATAGCCCAGACCTGGCACTTGCTCTTCAAACTCCTGCTCTGACCTCACAGTATTAGAATTTCTTGTTAGCCCCTTCGAGCAGATGTTGTTTTTCACCAGACATGGCTGCAGTCAGTCTTGCCTCTCTAACAAAGGACTTGGGGAAGCAAAGCCTGAACCCCAGTCCTCACCAAAGGGACCCTTGTCAACCACCACTCTCCATCAGCAGTTATCCTCAGGGAGGTCTCTGCTGTCTGAGATAACCAGCAGTTATCCCCCTAAATCAGCAACGGGGTCCATGCCTTGACTTCCACTCAAAGGTAAGCACCAGCTGTGACAAGTGGTCTCAGAGCTGGAGTTCACCTTGCACTTGGCCAGTGAATGGCTGGGGAGCAGCAGGAGAACCAAGAATCACTCCCACATATATTGGCCATGCTGAAATCATCTGCAGCACCATGAATGCCTTCCCGTGCTGACTAGTGGGTGACCATGCCCAAGTGGGTCCGACAGAGCAACCGGCTGTGCAGGTAGACACAGAAGGCAGCGATAACAGTAAGTTGGCTTGGATGCATTAGGTGTTGGCTTATCTGCAATATGCCGCCTCGAAGTATTAGTTTTCAAGATGCATTCATTGTCATAGCAACAACAAGTGCAACATGGAATTGATGTACTTACCATCCTTCTGAGACGCAAAATTAGACTGAGGGCTGGGGAGCAGATTGAAGAAAACAGCCCCCACAGCGCTTGCACCAAGCCCCGGACAGCCCCACTCCCTGCAGTGCTGGGGTGGGGAGATGCAGCCCTGTACCAGACTGCACCAGCCTCCCTGCTTCTCACCCGGGGTCCCAAAGGCACCCAGCTCCATGTGGGTATGGGGTTCCCATGGGTGCTGATGCCCACAACAGCCACGGCACGAGTCAACCTTGATTTGCCTCCCCCTGACCCCTTACCTGGCCTTGCCACGGCTGCTCCTCCGGAGCGTGGGCAGGTCGGCCTCCTTCTCCTCCTGCACGCGCTGCAGGGATGGGGAGCGGCTGTGAGCGCTGCGGGTGCTGCTGGAACTGGCCAGGCTGCCGTCCCCACCGCCGGCCCCTGCTGCAGCCTCCTGCATCTGCACCAGCAGCTGGGGAGGCAGGCTGCGCAGCGAGGGCACCGGTGAGTAGGACGCCCGGCTCTCCGCCTTCAGGTTGTTGTCGCTGGCCGAGCGCTGCAGCATGCGCGGTGAAGAGAGGCCGCCAGCACCGAGGATCCGTCGCCGCTTTGTATAGCTGGGAGTTTCTCTGAAAGGCACTGCAAAAGAGGCAGGAAAGCAGCATTAGCTACCCAGGACAACGCTGGTGTTGGTCGGTCATGCTGGAGCAGGAAGATGGTGGCAGAGAAGGAGCACAGAGCTGGAGCAGGAGTGGGAGCACAGGAACAGCCAGAGCAGATGAGGACGTGTCTCCATCTGCCTCCAGCTTCCATCCCAGCAAGACACCCAGAGCACACTGCTCTCCTCAGGGAACATCTGCAGGCCTGGGAGCACAGTGGAGCCAGCGATTTAGATGGCTTGGCAGCCATCTTGGGCTGAGAGTGTGGGGAGAGTTTGGAAGCAGTGTCTGGAAAAGCATCAAGGCACCCTGTGGGGGCACACAGTGATGGTGAGGGTCAGGGCCACCAGCTTCCAGCCCACCTCCAGCTACCACTCTGGTTTGGAGGTGGTGACACAAACACAGGACATTGTTACTGGCCATGGATCCTGGCCATCAGTTACTCCTCTGTTCTGGAGGTACAATAGGCCTAAATCATGCTTCAGGCATGTGCTATCTCTACGCCTCAAAAATGTAGCGTACAGAATAAACCACCAGCTACACTCTGCCCTTCCTGACCCTGTAGCTAACTCTTACCGGTGTCTGGAAGAACCAGACCTCACAAAGGCACCTGGAGATGCCAACTCCTGCTTCCACCAGCAGCTCTGCAGAAGGAGGAGGAGTGGAAATGGAAAACTTCCTGTAGACGCAGAGGGATGAGCACTCTGCTGCAGACATGGCAGCATGCACACTGTGGAGCTGGAGTGTTGCAGAACTTAGGTCAGGAAAGACATATTTCCTGAAGTTTGTTCAATGAATCCATTTTCATTCTGAAGTTTCATATGCTTAAAGTTTGCCTCACATTTGTGAATGCCTTCAGCAGGGAACACGTAGTCAACAATATCCGCTTGTTTCATAGAATATCCCAAATTGGAAGGAACCCACAAGGACCATCAAAAAATCTGACTCCTGGCTTTGCAGAGGACTACCTAAAATTTAAACCACCTGAGAGCATTGTCCAAATATTCCTTGAACTTTGGCAGGTTTCGTGCCGTGACCACGAAGGCTGTTGCAAACTCAGTGACTGAAAGCAAGGGGATACTTAAAACACAGCATCTGATGCACTGCAGAGATCTTCTCCATCACAAAGTTCTCCTGCACTCCTGATGAAAGGCATACTCAGAAGTGGTGTGATCCCTACTAACAGGGGACTGCACAACTTCACCTTTCCAAGACTACTCCTTCCATGGTAACTTGTACCTGGTGTGCAAACAGGTGCTGAACCCTGAGCACACTTTAACTACCACAGCCAACAGGCTTCAGAGGAAGGGACTGGCCAGGTATCTGAACAGGACATTGCCTGACATTTAGCAAGGTCTCTCACCCTGTTGAACTGCTGACTGAATGCCTTCAAAGCACTTTCCAGCTGTGCTGCACAGCTACACTTGCAATATTTTTCTGAGGAATAATTTAGGTTCAAAGTACAAGAATTTCAGGATCCTGTAAATCTTCTTGTTGTCATAGCAACTCGATGCATTTGTTCTCTGATGTCCCAACCACGTGGCGGGGGATTTCTGCCGGCAGCCTCTGTGCTCCCTACAGCGATTCAGCCCAGCTCCCAGCCCAGCACCAGATCAAGATGTCCCTGCACCTCTGCCCACGGCTGCAGCACTGCAAGTGCCTCACATCCAGGCCACCCCACAGGAAAAACAGGTCAAAATGGGAACCCAGAAGGAACAGGAGATATCAGATAGAAAGATGCAACGTCTAGGCCACATAAAATATGCTGTGGATTCAGGTGTGCAGGGAGTCTGCAGGGCTGTAGCAAACAGGACTCACTAACCTGTAGCCAGCCCCATCAATGCAATACACTTGAGCTGAAGTCCAAAGTCAAAGTCAGGGCTAACTACTACCCTTTCAAAGGTATCACTGAGCATGTTTGGCCGACAAGGACTGCCAGCCTAAGTTTGTGTGTCATCCAGACATTTTATTTTGTACTATATCACCTCTCATAGAAAACCACTTTAAAAAATCAGAGAAGCAAATATTAAATGGATGCATATCACAGTAACTGACAGATTTAAAAATTATTAGAAATTGGAACTAGTCACTGGAAATGCACGGAAGTTCCTTGCTAGTCTCTAATACCTGTTTTCAAACCAAAGCAATCCATGCACTTCAAGCGTCAGTTCTTGAAAAACAAACAAATAAACAAAAAGAAAAAGAAAAAACAAAACAAAAAACAGAATTACTTAATTACTTTTAGTAAAGTAAGTGTTGAATGCCAACTAATGATGAAAGCACATCAGTTAGTGGCATGAATACATTTCCAAACTGAAGGCCAAGGCAAATAGCAATGAGTACACCCATGGTGTGCTTCCAGGAACCCAAAACATAGGTGAAACTCAGTGATTATGGGACTGTAACCTGCGAAAGGTTGTGAACTCATAGTGGCTGTCAACCAAACACAAGCTCAGTGCAACTCTGCCAGGAACAGAGTTAATCTGAGCTCATTACATCTAAACTGGGGAACAGCAAAGCCCCATAGAGGTGATCTCAACAGTGCTCTATCAGGAGGCAATGTCACAGCTGGAGAAATGCAAGGTTTGGAACCACACCATATTAAACTTTGCTAGACTGAAAATATCAAGGAAAAAATCAAGATCTAGAAGAATGTGCCTGGCAAGCTCTTTGCCTGTCTTGGACAAAACCAGGAGCAGCAGTTAGTCTTTTGCAGACAGCTAGGGCTCCTGGAGCTCTGCACCAGCCAGTCAGGCTGAGTATGCACTGTGCTTCCCCTGCGCACGCATGGCCTCATACTTTACTACAAGGAGGCCAAAGCAGTCACCAAGTGCATCAGATCTGCAGCCACAGCCCAGCCGCGGCACCAGTGCGGTCACCACTCTTCTGTATCTGGCTGGGCTCGGCATCATTGGTCCTGGCACCAAAGCCAGAAAAAAAAGGAGGAAAACAAGAATACAGCAATGAAAACCTCAGACAGCAGGAGACGGTCTGGTTTGCTTTGGTGCACTTTATAAATTAATTATTAGTGTCTAGATATTAACTGCTTAGAAAAATAAAAAAACAAACAAACAACAACAACAACACAAAAACATTGCTGTATGTTGAAATAATTGTGTACAAGCTCACTGTAAAACTATCTCGTTGGCAAGCTGCTTTTACTCAACTGAACTAGGACTGGCAGAACTTGGCCAGAGTTGTGCAGTAGGCATGGTCCCTCATGAGAAAAATAAATAAATAAATCCGGGCAATAATCTGGAAAAAAAAAATCTGGAAAACATTGTTAGCATTCAATATAAGAGAAAAGGGGGAAAATTTGAAAAGCAGCGACTTATCTTGCAAGTAAACAAAGCAGCACATCTGACAATGGATCCTTTCAGTCTATGTGAGATCTCTGATCCTGGTAGCCTTAGCTTAACTGAGAAGTAGCAGAAGCCTGAACTGCAACCAGCACGGACATCGCTCCAGGAGATGTGGAGTGGTACAGACTTTGCTCTGAGATGTTCACAGCAAGCACCAATTATTAGGCAATGAGACATAAACAGGTTGCTCAAGGACTCCCTGGTGAAAGGGAAGGCACTTTATAATTTCTGACACAGGTCAGGGTGAATTCTTTAATTTAGGCTGTCAAATTAATCACCTGGTTACCCATTTCCACGCTCTCCACAAGCACAGTCATCACCTTACATATGCAAAGTGCTCACTCCCAACACCAAAATTATAGAATCCACTGTAAAAACAGCACAAAACATAACCACTGTCTCAAATTCACATCAGAGATGAAGAGCAGCAGGGCTGCAGAAAAAAGTCCAGGACCGCTCTGCTACTCACTAATCCATTTATCATAACATCAAGCGTAAGAGTCCCTGAATTACAGCATAACATAGCATTTACAGGAGTAAATAAGAAGCTGTCCAGGTCACATAATAGACTGCAAAGGCAAGGTTTCCTGACTGTTTAACTCTAGAATTGTGTTAAGAGAATGGTATGACAGCTGCAAAGGCAATCTCTTGACAGACAGGAAGATACCTGCACTGACTAATTTTAACGTGTTCCCCAGCACACAGTAACTGCACGTGAGGTGAGATCAAGACAGTTTACTTCACTTGCCAAAGTGCAATTTAGGGGCAAGGGAGTCACAAGTCCAGATGATGAGTGAAAAAAATTGCTTTCCAATACTATCACAGGAGCAGAGACTTTTATATGCCACACGTGCACACCGTGTGAAGTTCCACAGGTTCTCAGGTGTCCAGCATGCCCTGATGTCTCCTGGCCAAGGCAGCTATACCCAAGGACCAGGGCACCTACCCTGGCACATAGGGGACAGCTCAGGGGACTCAGCAAAGACCTTGGGAGACTCAGTGCAGAGGTACTGCTGATAGAAATCTGCCTGCTCCAACTTTAGTGCCTAGCCTCTGGAGCCTAGACTGCCTGTTTCTGGGTCGCTGTGCAGCTGGGAAGGCAACTGGAGCAAGACCAGTTTCTACAGAGAGGTTAGTGAACCAGGGATGATGACACCTGGCCTGGAAAGCTTGGCTTTAATTGAGAACACAGATGAGCACACATCCAGGCAGTTTCATAGGAGGATGGCAATCAAAGGAACACAGCTATTGCTTGTATGAACAGTATAGGACTTTTCCCTCCAGATACTCCAGAGATTCTTCAGAGCCCTCATCTAAACACAGACTTACATCCAGCCAGTCTGGATGCCATGCCACATAGATACACGCAAGCCTGGGTCTGCTCTCACGACAGCAATTAGACATATTCAGAGAGATACAAAAACATGTTCGGCTGTGCTATGCAATGAGATGAAGACAGCAAGGGAGACAAAATCTGTTGCGTGTGGCAGAACCGTGGGAGAGAAAATTGTGCCTTGGCCAGATGGCAGAAAGGACAGAAGAGATACCCACATTGCACAGGGAGGTGTGCTGAGGCAGATCCATGGGATGGACCTCAAAATGGACGAGCTAATGGTAG